TAATTTATGAGAGAGCCCAATATGACGCATCCTGTATACAAAATCAAGTATCGTGCGACAGGAATTGTAGAGGTGTTATTTATGTTTGTATAGGGGTCACTTATGTTATACTAACTTAGTGTTAGTCTTGCCTCGTCTATTTTAACTTGCACTACCTTGAAGAAAAAACATGACATTATTAATTACCACAGTGTTAAGTAACTAATTTAGTTCATGTAGCTTTTGACGTTACATTCTTATAAAATTATGGCAATCATCGCTAGGGAGAACTTTTGGATCTAGCAAACTTGAGGAAGTTTAGTCCGTTAAAGTTAATATGGCGCATGTTGCTTCCTGGCAGCTGAGTGTTGGGCCACGGCAGCTGGCGACTCTGGGCACAACTGAGGCAGAACTTGATACCAACTTGTGGTGTAGTGGCCTAAGAGGGGCCAGCCAGCCAGCCAGTTGTGTGTGTGTGTGTGTGTGTGTGTGTGTGTTAATGTTATATTATATTTCTGCATTTCTAAAATTAGGTAGGTTCTTTAAGTGCGTATTCAAGATTAATAAATACACCTAGTCATTAATCAAGAAATATTCATAGAGGAACCAGTAGTGTTCTTCCTCCTGTGACTGCTGCACATAGGCTACTCGAATACTCCGCCTATTCATTAATAAATCACCCCCGTATTCTAAATGACAATGGGATAATGGTGGTCTTTTTTAATAAAAATTTGTAATCGAGTAAAAGTAGAATTAGTTGTCGAAAATAGTAATAGAGTAGAAGTAAATTCATTAGCCTGTAAAGGGAATCAAGTAAAAGCAAAAATTACTGCTGTCGGAAAAATAATTAAAAGAATAAGGTAGAAAGTATTAATCTTGAGTGATATGAGTTGCTGCTTTTCAATGAGAGAAATAATAAATGGAATTTCAAGTTTATATGCCATATTTAAGGTACATAGGAAACAATGAAGTATCTTCTGAGCTCACTTAACACCCACATGCACCCAATAGTGGGAGATGAATGTCTCTACGTAACCACTAGAATTCCAGGTCCCAGAGTGTGACCCTCAATTCACCCAGTCTGCACTCAGTTGGCTTACTCCCACTACTTCATAGACAGGAAGAGAGCAACCGTCGGTCCAGCCTAGTTAGGCCAGCCCAGAGTACAACCAGGTGAACCCTGCCCCAGCTGTGGGAGGGTTCTATTTCCCGTTGATAAGATTTTTCCCTGGATGACTGACGAGATGTGGGGGTGGTTCCTGTGGTGTTGTATGAACCTAGGTGGGGAGATTCGGGTGGGCCAGGTCGACCAAGCCACAGTAGTTTGTCGTCAGAAACACCCGTTCACTTGCTGGTCGGGTTGTCTCTGCCCGTGCGTTGCCAGCTATATCTTTCAAACCACCATCACCACTAACCAATTGGGGTCTCTTGACCCTGCAAAAGGAGTGCTTTGTTAACTAGTGTTAAATTCTTCTCCGCCCTATCTTAACACTGCCTGAGATCGAATGAGGACTTACTTACACCAAGGTTGAACGCGCATGAAGGGACGAAGCCAAGTGGTCGCTTTCCTCGGCGGAGCACGTATTTTGAGACGTCCGTCTGGGTCAGTGGCCGCCAACTGATTGAGACGGGGTCACGGACAGCGTCCCTCAGGGCACCCGCTTGCCCCCTCATCTACACCACAAAGATGCCGGAAAACCAGCATTTTAAAGTGGGCCAACCCAGGCATAGGTTAATGGCCAACATCAGGGCCTGGGGAGCGAAAATAATAATAATAATAATAATAATAATAATAATAATAATAATAATAATAATAATAATAATAATAATAATAATAAAATTTAATAAAAAAATAATAAAAAAGCCAAAATAAAACATAATAACAATAATAATGATAATAATAATAAAATACCACCCTCAAAAAAGAAAAAAAAGATCAAGGTTAAGAAATGATATATGTATGTTGTGTTGTCAAAGCAAGAGTAACAATTCAGACCCTGCAATCGTGTGTAAATGAGACAGAAATTCAGATCAGCAACCTGGGACTTGGTCACAATTTGTGTGATGCCATGTGGCAGCAGGGTCTACCATTAGACTAACATTATGCTTCCAATATCTTCCCAGGAGTTAATACCTCCCTGTTTGATAGCATGAGAGGGGTGTTGGTATTCTTGTAAACTAGAACTTGAGCAGTAGTGTAAAGGGATATTGGGCAGTGTCGAATAGAATTTTGTCAGTCAAGTTTAATGGACTTGGACTTGGTAATAACACATTTTTTTACACCAACAAATAATAGTGAGGATAAAGTCTTAGAAGAAAAAGACATCTTGAAGTTTAATGAGTGTCTGATTATAACGGGTGATTTTAAAGTAAAAGTTGAAGAGGGAAAGTAGCACCAGATGTAGGACCACATGGGTTGGGTAAAATAAATGAGAGATGATAAATACTAATTGACTTGCGGACACACACACACACGCACAAACAAACACACACACAAACAAACAGACATACTTCTTTCTTTTATATAGATATATTATTATTATTATTATTATTATTATTATTATTATTATTATTATTATTATTATTATTGTTATTAGTATTATTATTATTATTAATATTATTATTATATTATACATTAAAATTCGTTTTAGTAGTAGTAGTAGTATAGGGGTGGGGGAAGTGCTGAGGCGGATCATCGGAAAGTGCATAATGGAGGTGGTAAAGGATGATGTCAGGGTAGCAGCAGGGAACCTACAAGTGTGTGCTGGCCACCAGGCTAGTGGGGAGGCGGCCATTCACGCCATGAGATTGATATTTGAGCAGCGTGATTGTGAGGCCGTTCTCCTGGTGGATGCTTCAAATGCATTCAACATACTTAACCGCAAGGCTGCACTGCACAACATCAAGATCGAGTGTCCAAGCTTTGCGATGTATGTTGACAATTCGTATAGGAATCCTTCAGACCTCTACATAGTAAACAACAAGGCTCTACGAGGTGATACCATCCTACAGTCGACCGAGGGAACAACACAGGGGGACCCTGTTGCAATGGCAATGTATGCAATAGGCCTATCAGTGCTCCAACAAGAAATAAAGTATGAAACAACTGGGGTCAAACAAGTGGCATATGCTGATGACCTCACAGGAGCAGGAAAAGTGGAGGACATCAAAAAGTGGTGGGACCTGGTAACATCGCGAGGTCCACATATAGGGTACCACCCTAACGCCAGCAAATCCTTCCTCATCGTGAAGCCAGATCATTATGATCGGGCTGTGGAGGTTTTCGGCGAAAGTGAGGTCAAAATAACTAAGGACGGCCAAAGACATCTAGGCGCAGTAATTGGCACTACGGACTTCAAGACCCAGTACGTAGGGGGAAAGGTGAATGAGTGGGTTAGCGAAATCCATGCTCTATCGGAGATTGCTAACACAGAGCCACATGCGGCCTTTGCAGCATTCACACATGGAGTCAAGCATCGTTGGAACTACCTGATGCGTACCATCCCTGAGATCCGACCCCTCCTCCACCCTTTGGAAGAAGCAATCAGTGTCAAGTTCATTCCCAAACTAGTGAAACACCACGACTTAACCCTAGTAGAAAGAACACTTCTTGCACTTCCACCAAGACTGGGAGGGATGGGACTAACTAATCCAGAGGAGATTGCTGACTCTGAACATCAAAATTCACTTAAGCTCACGGCAGCCCTCACTGACCACATAATAGCCCAGAATGCAACAGGGGAAGTGGACACCAGCGAAGTTAATAAGATCCGTAGGTCCATTACAACAGATCGGCAGCACTGCCAAAATGACATGTTGCAGCAACTATTGCTGCTGGTTCCAGAAAATTTGACAAAAAAAGTAGCTATAGCGCAGGAGGTGGGCGCCTCGAACTGGCTAACTACGTTACCGATAAGGGCAAATGGTTTCAGCCTTAACAAACAAGAATTTACAGATGCCATTGCTCTAAGGTACGGTTGGCCAGTAGATGGTTTGCCCTCCCAATGCGTGTGTGGCTATTCCTATGATGGCGATCACGCCATGGTTTGCAAGAAGGGGGGCTTCATATGCATGAGGCATGACGAGGTAAGGGATCTCACAGCAAATATGTTGAAGGAAATCTGCCGGGACGTCATGGTAGAACCGACCCTCCTTCCACTGGATGGCGAGATCTTCCAACACAGGACTTCAAACACATCTAACGAAGCCCGTGTGGACGTCAGTGCTCGAGGATTCTGGACGCGGGGACAGCGAGCTTTCTTCGACATCAGGATTTTTGATCCCATGGCCGTTTGTCACCGTAACCTAGCTCTCGATGCTGCGCATAGGAGGAACGAGAACGACAAGAGAAGGGCATATGGGGAGAGAATTCAAAATGTGGATCAAGGCAGCTTCACTCCTCTAGTGTTCACAACCTCTGGTGGGATGGGCCCAAGTGCAAGATGTTTCTACGCCAGACTCGCGGAGCTGATCTCCGAACAGAAGCAGCAGCCCAGAAGTTATGTCACAGCCTGGATGAGATGTCGACTGTCCTTCTCTCTCCTTCGGTCGGCTTTGCTCTGCCTCAGGGGAACGAGAGCTTCTGCCCCTACTCCGACAACTGCTGCAGATATCGACTATGAGGCTACAGTCACTGAATGCCGCATGGATCTGCGGCTCAACTAATTTAACACAGATAGGATAGTTTCTTATGTATTAGGATATTTAATATTAAGGTAAATAAATGGTGGCGAAGGTGTGGCTATTGGGGGAGGCTGGAGGCCATTTACGTAGTAGTAGTAGTAGTACTAGTAGTAGTAGTAGAAATTAATATTTGTAATATTAGAAGTAGTAATTATTATTCTTGGTTATACTCGTATTATGGTTGTAGACATTAACGTTCGTGGCAATAGCACACACACACACACAAACACACACACCTGAATTTTCTTTAAAGTAACCTTGCCCAGCATCCTCGGGGAATCAGTTTGTGTGTTGCCTCACCGCTGAACGCGCTCATTTGACAGGATGGAACATTTGATAACAGAGTAGTGTGTACCAAGCCGTGATGAGCTACGCACTAGACAAGTGAACGTTGGCGTGGAGAGTGTCATTGTGTGATTTGAGATCCTGATTGTTAGTTAACTATTTCTTAATCTAACTTACCCTAACCCAAGCTAACAGAAGCTAACTTGATTCTCCTCAACTTATTTAACCCTATTAACCATAAGAAGATACTTAAACTCATGAGAAGTGAATAGTGTAATTCGTTCCCTTGTTATTACCGGTCAAGATATGTTAACAAAAGGCGAAACTATTTGGTGAATTCCGACAGTGTGATCATTCTAAATAGTTTGTTAATGAAACTTTTTGACTTTACTGATGACCTGCAGCAAGGCGAGTTGACACCCCTGGCGGCTCATGTTTATATAAGTATATAAGAGCATGAAACTATTTAACATCTAATCATCACTTCCCTTGACTCTACTATAATTGGTATGTATTAAGACACCATGGAAAGAGTGCATTACAATAAATCACTTTCCCAAATTTCACAAACACAAAGCAGACGATCTTTCCAAATCCTAATAAGTCTATTATTTTAACTGTTGTATATTAATAATTTACATTCTAATATTCGAATCTGTCAGTGCGTAGAAATGTACAATATATAGGGGGATGTAATAATGGGGTTAATTTCAGTGAATTTAAGACATAGATACATACTGCCCCTGCATATTATGATGCTATAATCGGCCAAAGTCTTTTATCCACCATTAACCGAGTCTCACTTTCAACACAAAATTATATCCAAGTACATATTAAACAATTTAAAAAATGTACATGTGACATTCTTACAACTCAGCACAATAATTATACTTGCCTTACTGAAACTTTAACTTATGATAATTTACCTACCATATCTTAACCTAGCCGCTCAGAAATTCCTAGATTAAATTATGATAAAACTATTCTTGTTTTTATTGTATATTTATATAATTACATACACAGTATAGTAAATATTTAATGAACTTAGAAGTTTTCAGTATCGTATTATTTCTAGCTATCCGTAAGAAAAATATAATCACGAAACTACATAAATGAAACTCTCAAAATAAAATATAACATTCTTGTTGGGTGGTCGGTCAATTCAACCCCTGATCAACTCAACTCCTGTCAACTGAAATATTGGTCAATTCATTCCCTGTCAACTCAAACCCCAATCGAGATAATATTATTACTCTCCCTGCAGCCTGCACTGGATGACACTCTCCAAGTCTCGCGTCACGTTGTGTCTGAGTGCCGCACGGACCGCTATTCTTTATAATGTTTTGTTTTTGTCTTTTACTATATGGTGATTATATTATTACATATAAGCAATTAATCTAAGATATCGAAGTTTGCTTCGCTTATTTTTATAGTTTGCAACTTTTACAACAGAGGGATTCGACATTTCTTCAATGCCTTTGTACTCACCCTTCTGCCTTCACTCTGTTCAGTGGACTGAAATGCCTGTCTGTACAAATTAGAAACTTTATAACTTAAAGAGACTTTGAAACAAGTAGACCTTATATAAATTGGCATATCGTCTTGTTGCAAAATTTGTAAGTTATGAAAATGAAGCAGACAAACTTCGATGTCATCGATTAATTATTTATATGTAATAATAAAAGCAATATGTTTGGTTTCTTAGGTATATATGAGTATAGTCAGCAGCTGGCCCATATTGGCTATTCTCATGGTTTACAATTACCATCCTAACCTAACCCAACCTAACCTAATCTAACTATAACAGAAAACTTTTACAAATTTCTTGGTATTACTTTAAAAGAGATGTGCAGATTAATGGGCAACATTAGGAACGTTTTCAATAGAATTAAACTTTTCCGTTCCTTAAGAACATCTCCCAAATTGTGGAGAAATAAATTTTTACCAAGCCTAACCTAACCAAAAAAGAACAACCAATACAACCTAAGCATCCAAACCTAACGACTCCCACTTGGTCACGTCTCTGTTACATACCAAGTCTGGTCTTGGTGCCATCATAACACTCTGCAAAATTGTTCTAAGAGTTCACAAATCTTACTCCGGAAAAGCTTGTCCTGACTTTTTCCACCTATCTTAACAACTTGGCTATGTAGCCTTCAGCCTGTCCAGCCAGGAAGTCACGGCTAAGTAGCCACTCCCCCAAAATAAGATAACATTTTCGTGTTTCTCAATCATTAACCTAACCTAACCTACCTATTATCGAAAATATTAACATGTACCCGGTAATATTTAAAAGACAAAAGTGTGAGGGTTAACAAGTAATAATAGGAACATTTTCCATTGAAGAAAATGATGGAAGAATAATTTTTAACAAACCTAACCTAACCCAAAAGTAAAACCAAAAGAACCTAAGGAACCAAACCTAGCGATTCTCACATATCAGGATATATGACTTTCCAACCTAAATTAACATCCCGGCTATGCAGCCTCCGGTCTGCCTTGCCGGGAATCCCCGGTTAAGTAGCCAGTTCCCCCCAAAAATAAAAAGGTTCATGATGCAGGACTGGAACTGGTGACATCCAGTGCAGGGAGAGTGCTAATATAATTGTAGCAGCCCCTTTCTAAAAGACAGTAATGGTTATTTAAATGTGAACTACGTAAATTACATATAATTATTACACCCACGGTAATTAAACTATGAGCAAGTGTCTAGTGATGTATGTCACGTAGTCTCATTACCCGTGGTGCACTTCTGACCGTGGTGACCACGGTCATTTTTTAAGGGTTCTCATGCATAATATTTTAAACCAAAAAATGATAATTTATTGCGTTAGTTTATAAAGTTGTTTTAGTTTCTGCTTTGATAATTTAATTTTTAGTGCGAATGAATTAGGAGGTATCGATAAATTTTGTCTTGTTTAATATTATATAAAATTTCCTGTTCTGCGAAAATAAACAATGTTGTGCTTTAATGTTAATAAGATATACTGTACATGAATATTCAGTGTTTTCGTGTGTTCCAATATTTGTATAAATTTTGTTTGCTGTCACTGAAATGTTTTAGAAAGTGAACATTCACTTTGATTTTCTTAGGGGTAGTCTACAAATAATGTGTTAATGAATAGTAATTAAAATTTCACTGATATTGTCGAATTAATGGAAATTGAGTTAAACAGCGGCCGAGTCCATACGTTATACTGTAGTATGCTTCCTGTTCCAATGGTCGCGTCACCGGCTTAGTATATAGTGGATTGTATTCACACTGTTCCCTAACGAGCACCTAACAAGGACATATAGGACATATTCCTGTATGTGTAGGAATATGTCCTATATATCCTTGTTAGGTGCTCGTTAGGACTCGGCCGCTGCTTAACTCAATTTCCATTAATTCGACAATATCAGTGAGATTTTATATTACCATTCATTAACACATTATATTTAAGGTGTCCCAGAAAAATGTCCCTGCCTGCCCCCTGTCTCAGGGAGCAGGTATCCATTCACTTTTGGGTAGACTGGGATGTCCCCGACACAAACCAATGACCTTCAGGAGAGGAGGCGAGCGTTCTCTTCTCTCACTCGCCTTGAACCTCAAACGTAACTTAACCTAACCTATCGGGCTGTTGAAATTTGAGTTGCAGAATTTTGTCTTTTTTGCTATCATAATGTTGGGACTTTGCATGGTGACTGTCAGAAAGGTGAGGTGTCTGATATGTGAGAGACCCACAGATAAACACAAACTTCAGAATTGATGTTGTTTTATAGGAAATAAGATGGAAGAGACAACGTTCTCAACAACGACAGCTGCAGCCACACCTCAGTCATCAGCAAAAGATATATACGGTAGTCACCTGCTGGGCTTCACAAGTGCCTGCGTCTTCATCATCGCCATCATTGGTACAGTTGGTAAGTCTTGTGAAGTGTCATTGTCGGTATGCTTGGTAAGCCTTAAGAGCAAATCGTACTCTGTTCATAAATATCACGAACGTTATAGATCTACAGTCAATGCATCTATACCCTATGGTCTGTTGGAATAAAAAATGAGCAATAACACCGGAAGCATTGAGGTATCGGATAGGTTGGTACCTCATAAACTTGTACAATATTCTGTGATAAAAGTTTGTTAAATAATGCCACAAATAGTTTTATTAATTCTAAGCATTCATGTGCAACATATTGCTTTAGTGATGAATAAATATCGATGCATTTGTGCAACTCGGTAGGAGGACTGAGTGTGAACCTCGAGATGAATTGCAATTTCATAGACTTTCCCTGTTATTTATGGGAGAAACCATTAGTAAGTAAAAGGGTTGACTAAATAAATTGTGAATATATGCTATGTTTAAATTTCTCCCTTACCTTAAAGTATAATAAATTGGTATCAAATCATAAATTTTATTTATGTTAACTACAATAGTTTAAGGGAAATAAAACGGAATGCATAGGTATGAAAATAAACATAATGTACTTGAAACATTATTTGCCGGTCTAGGGTTATATAATATGAATACTGCATCAGTCGAGGTTATATTTATTTAATAATTTATTGGAGCATAACTTGGTAGTTGCGGCCATATGATTCGGCCACAAGCACCCACACAGGATAAAAGACAAGAACTTTAACGCCGAAACCTCAAAGGAAACGCGAGTTGCGATTATCGCCCTTCACTGCAAGGGCAATGCAGTTCTATTTTTACCATTAATATCGGTAACAATGAAATATGATAATTTGTAACTAATGATTTGTGTTTTGAGATGCGAGTGTGTAAACTTTACCACATGCACCAACTAGTCATTTTGCATTATATTATTCATCGAATGGAATACTGTAACCCATTAAGTATTTATACATATTAAAGAACAATTTATATGCTACACACAAACCAAGATAACATTACATACAAAGGGACGATATAGATATGGAATTATCGTGAAATGCGATTATAGTAACACTGTCACGCAAGAGGAGCAGCAGACTTACCAATACACGGCGATAACCACAGGAATTCATTTCAAGTCTTCAACTGATTGTATATTCCCGGCACATCTAAAATTTCAGCCAATCAGTGCGTGCGCTGCTTTGAAATATATGTATATATATATATATATATATATATATATATATATATATATATATATATATATATATATATATATATATATATATATATATATATATATATATATATATATATATATATATATATATATATATATATGCAAGTAAATCACTGTAGGTGCATGTGATAGGGTAACACGAAGTAACCAAGAGCTTCAAAACCCCGAAGATGTTACACGAAAGAGCTTGGGAACTTCGTGTTTTCTTCTTTCTTGTAACATATATATATATATATATATATATATATATATATATATATATATATATATATATATATATATATATATATATATATATATATATATATATATATATATATATATATATATATATATATATATATATATATATATATATATATATTTCATGTAAACTAAAATGAAAACGTGGATAAGATAAATCTTGATAAAATCACACGGGAAAATGGGAACAACGGAGCACCTTAGCTTTCGTCTTTATTCAAGACATCTTCAGAGGCAACTGGACTACATGGACAGAGAGAGGCTTAAATATACAGGGTGACCTTAAAAACATGAGGTCAGGTCATAATGATGTCATCCACTAATCCCCACACCAACACACACGTAGAGGAGCTTAAGAGAAGGGGGTGACGTGACTAGTCAGGTCAGGTCAAAAATAAGGGACCCACAAAATAACTATCATACATCTAGATCAAAGGTTTTCAAAGCATTTTTAACCTTGGGCCACTGACAAATAAATTTATGTAACATATTATCAGTTTTGAACTGACCATCACTAAGGTTTATTGATTTTAATTCCTTAATCAAACTAGCTTCAACCAGAAGTCTTTCTGTGACACAAGATGATTTAAATACTTCTAAGCTTTTTTCCCAAGCAATGGGGTGATTATTATTCCTAACATGAACGAACAAGGCACTGCTTTCAGATGCTGTTCTGATATTATACTTATGTTGTTTGATTCTGAGCTGCAGTGTTTTTCCTGTTTGTCCTACATAATTACAATTACATTTGCTACATGGAATACAATAAACACTTCCATTTACATTCAAACTTGGGCTATTCCTTATTAACATATTGGTAATGGTAGAGTCATACTTGAAAACAACATTAATATTTAGAAGCTTGAGGGACCGAACTAACGGGACAAATTCATTACGATAGGGCAGAGTCAAAATATTCTTAAGTGTAGGAACTTGTCTGGTTTGAGAGGAATGAAAGGATTTTTTAGCCCTTTTAAAACAACGATCAACAAACACAGAAGGGTACCCGAGTTTCTGTGCAATGGAACGAATGTGTTTCAATTCATCGTTAATAAATTCAGAGTCACAAATACGCAGACATCTTAATAATAATAATAATAATAATAATTGACGGTTTATTGAAAAAGTTCTGCAGCCCGAAGGCTGAAAATATACATTGGACATAAATGACTTATTACATACATTGGTGGTTTAACAAAAGCCTTAAGAACATAGCAGAAAAAACTGACATTTTGGTAGACTCAAGGTGATTCGATAAAAAGTGAATGAAACTGTCTACCTGTGTGGGCTTTCTATATACCTTAAATTTATAGTTTTGGCCATTTCTCATGATAAGCATATCAAGGAATGGAAGGGATCCATTTATTTCTCTTTCAATTTTGAATGTGATGCACACAGCATACATTAGTAACTGAAAAAATAGTATTAAGTACACACAAAAATATTATCACTATTATTTAGAAGTTACTGAGTCCACCAATACCCGTGAACCATGCTTCCTAACCTAACACATAGATTCCACCTGCACTCAGTAGTTTTTTAAGGCACAACCAACAGGCACCCGTAGTTTAAGGCCCAAACCAGCCTTTCTCAACCTTGGAAATGTACCTCTAAGTTCCACTGGACTCTTGGTCCCAGTGTGTGACCCTGTATCACTCAGCTGGCTTCACTTTACCCCAGTACATCCATGAAACGGAAGGGAGTGAGCCACTCAGACCTTGTACAGTTGAGAGAAGCTTTAGCTTCCCGTTAGTAAAAGGTTTTCACTAAGCTGCTTGAAGATATGTGGTATTGTGAGCCGAGGTAGAGGAGAGTTGATGACCCCAAACGATCGTCACGTCGTTAGTTGGGCACCTAGACAGCTGGGTTCACTCCAACTCTCACCATACTCAACAGGTGGCTCAAACCCAGGTCAGTGGACGGTCATACAGCTCGCTTCACCACTCGTGTCTCATACCGCCAGTGGACGTTATCATACCGCGTGGGGTCTGCAGAACCCTGAAAAACCCGGGCTGTTAGCTATTGTCTCACATCACCGTTTGTTCCTACCCCCTATCAAGCTTTATCTGAGATTGAATAAAACTTACTTGTTAATACTGATGTTAAATAAACGAAGGAACCAGGTCACGCCATCAGTCTCTCCTGGGTACAGCACAGAGGTGGTCCTTGACCTCTCTCACAGCTGCCCAGCCACGCTTCCTCACTGGTTCACGCTTTCCAGGAGTGACTTATTTACCAGACGGTTAACAGCTTAATTAGGACGTACGCAACATTTTCAGACTGGGAAACGATCTATAATTATTTTCAATTTAATAACTGATATTTAATTTCATGATTCGCGTCCCTATTAACTCGGTAAATTACATTTAATATCATATAGGCCTAGTTCCACAACCTCTGGCTACGTGAGGGAGCGCGGTCTTCCCTCAGACGACCTTGAACTCAGCGTCACCAATGGCGCGGCGTTTGAAATTACACTGAAATTTCTGAATATTACACACACACATATATATATATATATATATATATATATATATATATATATATATATATATATATATATATATATATATATATATATATATATGAGTGTGTGTGTGTGTGTGTAAATAAATCACTGTAGGTGCTCGTGATCCATGTGTATGCTGATAACCAAATGAAAAAAAGAAGAAAACGTGAAGTTCTCAAACAATTTCGTGTTATTCACATCTTCAGGGGTGAATACAGACTAATAAGTAGTTACTGACAAGGCTAATATATATTGTATACTGTACAATAAAGGAGGGTGAGATCAAATCCCTAGTGTCAGCATGTCTTTCCCATTAAGTAGTGACCCAACACTTTCACCTGGCTACAAATATTTTAATCACAACATTTTCCAATTTGTATATGCCATTACTTAAATTTATGTTTACAGAATTACAAAGTACTGTAAGATAGAGGAGGCCTTAGCCCGGCCAATGCAATGATTATTATCTCTCATATGAGTGAACAAAGCATTAGATTCATGGCCCCTTCGTACCCACCACCACCTACATCCACTTCTTCAGTTCCGCCATTGATAACAGAGCAACAGATTCTTGAAAATCATTCATCCCGGCATCCAGTTAATTTCAAAAGCATTGATTATATAGTAATTAAGTTCACATTAATACACAAAAGAAGACACGACTCATTAGAAGGGTAGAAAGAAAACTGTTACTCTCTCTCTCGAGGTAAGGAGAGAAAAAACTGCTGACGTGTAAGTCATCAGAACTCACACCACTCTTAGCATAAAGTAGATACGAGGAGTTATGTCACTCCTTAGAAATCCCACAGGATACGAGAAAGATAAACGTGAGGCGTATTATACAACCTTTACCGAACGTAAGATTTGGTAGGCTTTCTTCACTACTTGATAAATCAGCATCTTTCAACATTGTAATACGAATCTTTTCAGGCTACATTAATCGACCTTGTTGTAATAAGAGAGATTTAAAAAATGGTATTTGTTTGTGTATTTTTCTGTGTAGTGAGACATTTCCAGTATACTAATGTCTTGTGGGACTTTGGTCTCTATAAACCTGTTTTTGTTCAATTGAAGTTCATTTAAGATCATATTGATTTTTGTTTTACTATGGAATATAAAACGATGTTATAATGCACGTTGAAGGCTAAGATACAATAATTACAACTGGAGAATGATATAATTTCATTACCGAAATATGATAGAAAAATATCATGATAGAGGCTAATCATACTGACAATTTCGTCAAGTTGTTTCTCGTGATGGCGGAGAATTGAATGATTCGCGAGAAACATTACTTAACTTAACCTAATAATAAGCTAACTTGGAGGGAGTGACAACTTAGCACATTTTCTTGGCCATCGAGGGAGACAATATTACGTGATTTGTTCATAAGATTGACTAAGGTGAAATATTATTCCTGTTTGTTAAAGGCTTAATAGTATACATTCTTAGATCTTAACTTGTTCCATTTAATGTTTGGTCGAGCTTCCTTCATCAATAATCATATATTACTGGTTATTCTATGTCTCAAAAGACACGGTATATATTACAACAATTAAACTGCTCATTAGAACATTACCTCGACTGAGTTACCACTCACTAATTTATTTTCTTTCAAACCTATTAGGAATATCTCTCGGGTCCTTGGCTCTCCTGATGAGCAAGAAACTCCGTCAGAGTCCTTCCACAGCGTTCATGGTCAACCTTCTTGTCTGCCTGTTACCCGTGTGTGCCTTCGGGATGCCTATGTATGGAGTCGGGTGTCTGCAAGCTCAACAGTACGGCGATGTTACATTCTCAAAGGGAGTGTGCTTGACATTTTTTACACTAGGCCTCATACTAAGTCAAGTGCACATACACACCATCTGCGCACTCGCCTTCAACAGGTAAGAAATTTGTCTCATAGCTAAGATAATCGTATCTGTAAGGTACACGGAATATGTAAATTTTATTAATTTGGAATGTGATTTGATCTATAAATATCAAGAAATATATTACTGAAGACATATTATTAATTAAAATGTGAATTATTGGATAAAAATTAAGAATTTTTTTTCATGTCATATTATTAAGTTGAAATGTGAAGTATAGTGAAATTGGTCAAATCCTGGTGCAGAATGCTGGCTGTCGTGTACCCAATGTTGTACAAGCGAGTGATGCAACAAAGGAAGGTGATGCACTACTTGATCATACTATGGGTCTACTCCACCCTACTCTGGCTCCCTCTTACCTTCGGAGTAAGTAACAACAAAACATTGCCTGGAGAATATGAACTAATAAAATATTGTTTTCTAGATGGTGTCATGTTTTTTTTTTTGAGTTATTAAGAAAAAGCTTATTGGGAGGAGTAACATTTGTTTTTGTTTAATAAATTATATGCATTTATAATTATAATTATAATGCATCGATAATTATAATTTACTAATAACTACTTCCTAACGTACATTAACTTAGGTTTGGTTCATTTTCTTCATTGACATAGTAGCATTCACTGAGGGAAATGGTCTCATAATTCCAGGCGTCAAGAGCTTTTAGTTGACCATGTGGTGGACGATGGAAATAAAGCTCTCGGCTAGATATTTGACGGTGGCAGGCTGGCTGGCTGGCTGGCGAACTATAATACGATAACACCATAATGAGTTTCAAATAGTCTAGTGTGTCACAGTAAATTCAATGAACGCACAAACTTTTTCGTTACTCCCACTCATGTTTCCGGTTGGTACTGTGAACTGGTTTTAGCCACAATTGTCTTCCTACTTTGGCAACCTGTAAACACTTTTTCTCAGTCAAACATTAATCAGAAACTAGTTAAATTATTATATATATATATATACATATATATATATATATATATATATATATATATATATATATATATATATATATATATATATATATATATATATATATATATATATATATATATATATATATATATATATATCACTGTAGTGCATACACACATGTGAATTACACGAAAGCGGCTCATCTGCTAGGTCACGTAGACGCCACTTTTCACTACAACGGCACAAGCAAAGCATATTTTAGCATTAAAACTTCATCATCATCATCACATATCATCATCATCACTATAGGACCATCCATCATCGCTACATATCAATTATCACCAATTATGTGTTACCGTCATTACTACTCAGAAACAATACTCAATTATTATATCAATTGAACACAAACAAATATTTTATATATATATATATATATATATATATATATATATATATATATATATATATATATATATATATATATATATATATATATATATATATATATATATATATAAAGTATAACAAAGAAGACTGTTTGTCTGTTTGTTTATTTGTTTGTGTGTCCGCACGAGAATCTCGGAAATTACTTTACCGATCTGTAGTGATGATGGATGGTGTTATATGTAGTGATGATGGATGGTGATATTTGTAGTGATGATGGATAATGTTATATGTAGTGATGATGGATGGTGATATTTGTAGTGATGATGGATGGTGTTATATGTAGTGATGATGGATGGTGATATTTGTAGTGATGATGGATAATGTTATATGTAGTGATGATGGATGTTGTTATATGTAGTGATGATGGGTGGTGTTATATTTAGTGATGATGGATGGTGATATTTGTAGTGATGATGGATAATGTTATATGTAGTGATGATGGATGTTGTTATATGTAGTGATGATGGGTGGTGTTATATTTAGTGATGATGGATGATGTTATATGTAGTGATGATGGGTGGTGTTATATGTAGCGATGATGGATGGTGTTATATGTAGTGATGATGGATGATGTTATATGTAGTGATGATGGGTGGTGTTATATGTAGTGATGATTAGACAATAAAATAATAACAGTTTAATGCTAAAAAAAATATACTTTGCTGTACCGTTGTAGTGAAAAACATGGTGGAACCTACATACACCGTTAATGAACTATTGATGGAAGAAGAAGTTTTGGGGACTGAACAGTGAGACAATGTGGAGCCTCCCTGAGGGTGGCGTCCTATCGTGGTCTAGCGAATGAGCGTTTCTGCTAGGCCACGGCAAAGCTCACTTTAACCGGGAAGTGAACTCGCTTGAACTCAAATGGCAGGTCAGTGGTGATAAGAAGTATTCTTGGTATAAACACGTCCTCTCCTTTAGCTTTTCCTGTCAGTATTGTACCTTTCAGTACATGTGGCATCATGTTCTTCACCACCAGTCTTGTGCCATTGCAGAGCATTGGTGGTTCAAGATTTCTTAAGAGCATTATAGGAGTTCCAATCTTGAGAGTGAGGTGGTGAGGGCTCCAAAGAATTAAGGAATTCTGCAGGGTACTGGACTGCTTGGTACTGGTCGATTACTGTATCAACAGACTTGAATGAGGTCTCACTGCCTGGAAGCTGCCTGAGTAGAGTCATGTTGATTTCAGCCACTGTTTCATTCTTTGGTGCCAGAATTGCGCGTTCACGCAGCCACTTGTGATCCTTGTAGTTGTGGAAAATGTTTGGGTAGACCATGTTAGTGAGCTCAGTTGAAAACTTTACAACATTTCCACATCCTTGAGGAATGATTATTTGTCCTTCTGAATCAACAGGGAAAGTTCCATTCCCAATCTGTAGTAGAAGGTTTGCAAACTGATCAGCATCCTGATCTCCTTGTAGATGTACTCTCATGTTTGTGGATAGGGTGAGTGTCTGAACACTACTCCAAAGGTATGATGCCTTGAGGCACGCATTCATTTCATCAGCTGGAGTTCTTCAAGGAATGACAGGTAGGGTCTGGCGAAAGTCTCGAGCAATGACCATTGTAATGCCACCCATGAGCTGGTTATTTTCTCGTATTTCTTGCAAGGTCCTGTCCAATTCTTCAAACGCTAACTTGTGAGACATAGTGTATTCATCCCAGACTATGAGGCTGCATTTTTCTAATAGTTTTGCCTTTGCCGATCCTTTTTTGATGTTGCACACTTTCATTCTTATTGTGAGCGTGATTGAGAGGCAGTTTAAAAGTTGTAGTGAACGTGTAGTACAGGTGGTTTAGTGACCGTGTAGTACTGGTGTTGTAGTGAACGTGTAGTACGGGTGTTGTAGTGAAAGTGTAGTATATATATAAGGATAAAATTAGCTATAATACGTTGGCAGAGGAGGAAGAGGTGAAGGAAGGGGAAGAGGAAAGAGGTGAAGGAGGAGGAAGAGGTGGTGGAGGAGAAGGAGGAGGAGGTGTGTAGAGGAGAAAGAAGAGGAAGAGGATGAGGAGGAGGAGGATGAGGAAGAGGAGGTGGTTCGGAGATACAAGAGTTTTTAGTTTAACAAATTTATTGGCAGAGCTTGTAGTACAGTTTGCCTATTCTGAGTAATTCAGTCAGGTCTTGACACTGAGGGTGGTATCACTTCTCACTGCCACGCAGGACAGAGGTTCATGCACAAAGAAATACATCATATTCATTAACAGCTATAAATGTATAGAGGTCAGATTCATATGGGTAATGTCACTGTTCACTGCCATGCAGGACAGAGGTTCGTACACAAACAGATGCATCATATTCATTGACAGTACATATACATATATGGACACACACACATACACATATACATACATATACACATATACATACACATATACATGTACATATATATGCACATATGCACATATACACACATACATACACATATACACACATACATACATATACGTCGGTCAGATTCATGTGGGTAATGTCACTCTTCACTGCCATACAGGACAGAGGTTCGTACACAAAGACTGCATCATATTCATTGACACTATACAGTATATAGGTCAGATTCATGTGGGTAATGCCACTGTTCACTGCCATGCAGGACAGAGGTTCGTACACAAAGAAGGAAATACATCATATTCATTAGCAGTATATATAGGTCAGTGGATCACATACATTGGAGTCATATTCTAATTGAAGACTAATCAGTGTGGGCTAGCAAATTTGGGATAAACAGCAAGAATGTCCTCAAGCACACCTGATTCAATGAAGTAATTACATAGTTCAATATACAATAAGTCAGATGGCCTGAAGTCTTTGACAGTGTCACATTCAATAATATAGTGTTCAATTGTATGCTTTAAAGGTTTATCACAAAGTTTACATGCTGAGTGTTCCGGTATGGGTACAGCGTTACTAACTTGCCAGATTTGTCTGTATCCTAGCCTAATTCTGGCCACGACTACATCACATTGTTTGGTTCTGTCCTTTTGCTGGCCATACCGGTACCTCTTGTCACAAAATTTCTCATATTTACTAATGCTACAACTGTCAGGTCTTTCTACATTTCTCACTCCTTCTAGATCAGAGTTCATGATTCTGACGTGAATGTTTTTCATTACAGCATTGGACAGGCCAAGGTCAGGGTCAACATTTTCTTTCTTACATGCCTCATTGGCCAGTCTATCAGCACGGTCATGATACCTAATTCCAACATGGGACGGAATCCACACAAATTCGATACGAAAGTTGTTCTAATTGGCAATTATCACATTCCTTTTAATATCAAATACAACTTTAGACATAGAGCCTGACGGGCTGTTCATTGGTTTCAAAGCACTTTGAGAGTCACGGAATATCACCCCACCTCCATTTTCTTTGAGGTAGTCTGTGGCTAAGTAGATTCCAGTTAGTTCAGTTTGTGTTGTGCTGGCCCAGTTGTTCAGCCTTTGTTTGTTTGACACTATCATCTCTTTTTCTTTATAAATTACAATTGCACAGCCTGTTCTACCTGTGTTTGTCTGCACAGAACCATCAGTAAAAGCATAACATTCACTTGATTTAATACTCTCTATGTGTCTGTTACTAGTTTCTAGTGTGACACATCTCACCACATCGGTGTTTAACATTTGCTTACTACCAACAGGAGTGTAATTAATAGGAACTGATATATCCAGCCAAGGAGGAATGGCATTAATAGATTCGTCTGGGGTGATTGGGACATTCAGTTTCAAGAGATCTGCAACACTTTTATGAAGCCACGCCCCAAAGAGAGTCTTTTGTGGAAGGTTGGCGAGATGGTCGGGATTACTTAGATAGAACATCAACTCAATTTGAGCTGTAGTTTGAGAACCATTGTTCTTCAAAACTTTGACACAAAACATGGTATTAAGTAGAGCTATCCTCTCAGATAGGGAGGGCAGTCCGAGCTCTTTCCTCATGTTTACAATTCTGGTTGATTTTGGGCAACCTAGGATGATGAGCATGGCTTCATTTTGCACTACCT